GTGTGTTCTACCTAAAATTTTGCTCACAGTATGGTCCTGCCCCACTCTCATGAACCAGTCTTTTCTTTCAATTTTATTTTTACCTTCTTCATTTTCCTTTCCTTGCCATTAAAATAGCATGAGACAGTTTTAAAAGGAGAGACACTTTATCTGTATGCTAAATGATCATCAGAATTCAACTTGATAAACCAAAACTTGTACCATTCTTAAAATTTTTTAAAAGACACTGTTTAAACTAGTATTTTTTTGTATATTTTTTATTGGAGTTCGATTTGCCAACATACAGGATAAACTAGTATTTTTCATGTTAAGAATTTTGATTTTTTCTATCCTACTTAGAGTTAGGAATTGGGAGCTCCTACAAAACAAGTTACTGAGTTTGTTACGTTTCTTTTTGGTGAGTCTCTGAGGCTGTTGGATACAAATTAGCAGGTGTGGATTTCTTTTTGGTTTTTTTTTTTTTTTTTTTAGTCCGTTAAGTTAAAAATTCTTCAGTTACAAGCCAGCTTGAAGACATTTGAATGATAACAAGTAATACAGTATTGAAATCAGCATTTTGAATCAGGTCATAGTAAGATTAAAAGTTCCTGGTGGAGGGTGGTTTGCTCTTCTTGAAAGGGTAGGCCTACAAGATTAGCAGAGAAATGTGAAGTATTTTATTTTATAGTTCTAGACACAGTATTGTTTTTTTACTAGGGAGTAGTGTAGGCAGAAACAACCTAGTTAACAGTTCAGGAAGCTGGTTAGTTAGAACTGTTGCAGGCTGATGATGGGAGGCTTTATGTCTTAGAACTTTTAAAACAGTTTAGTTGTGACTTGAGTTACATCACCCCCTTTATTCAAGAGCATATTATCTGGTCTTAATGTATTCAGATTATTTTGTTGGAACATTATACTCTATTAGATATCTTTATGAAGAGTACAGTAAAACAAATACTTGACAATTCCTATTTCTAGGCTCAGTGCAAATATATATAAATTTTAGGATTTGAGGTCATGAAATATTATTAGAAAAAGTTAAATATTTTCTTGTAAGACAGTCTTCACCTTCTTTGTTGTATAGTAGTGATAATGGAGCTGGTTTTCAAACAAGGGTATAATGTTCAGTGATCTCCAAAGCTTTTTCTGAAATTTTGTAACTTTAAACAGTATTTCATCTTAGCCATTTTATAAAAACTTAAAGTATTAAAGCCATGCCTTGCTACATTGTAGTGTAATTATATAGTTTTATGCCAATTTTTTATACTGGAGCTTAGTGTAATTAGCACAACATAAGAATCATAAAATCCTAAGCTGTCTGTTAATACTATTAGGTAGCTCCAGAGCTATAGGTTACAATAAGACTGGAGGGAATGTAACCTATAACTCTGGAACTATCTAATATAGTATTAATAGAAAGTATAGTTCCATTTACCCAGTGTTTTATTGAGTGTCAACTGTGTGCCCAGCATTCAGCTCTGGATATCAGACTTGAAGATTTAGTAAAATCTGGTTCCTACCTGAAGGTTTTGAAAAGTAATGGGTAGGAATGGTGGTGATATTTTAGACATCAGTGGAGGATGGATATAAACTGTATAAGACTGGGGTGGGGGGACAGAAAGACTACAGTAATATTTATGAAGGGAATAATCCTAAATTAATATGTGACAGTAAGAATAGAGAATTGGAGACTTATTCTGGAGATAATTGGCACTTGAAAGGGACATAATGAGTGATTGTGGTAGTTAAAGGAGAAAGCGTAGCTAAGATTCCTCCTAAGTTTCTTTCTGTCTTGGGGGACCAGATAAATAGATGTACTTTATTCTGTTCTTAAATCATGATGATGACATGTACTGCATTTAAAAATTTTGTTAGGTACATAACGTAATGAATAATATACCCATGTTATGAAAGATTGTTGAATAGTTTTAACTTATATGTACATTATAAGGGAAACCTAATATCACACCTTTTGTTATTTTTCAAGTTGAAATGTTCTTAGCCACGATTCTAATAAGTAATTACTAAGGTGACGCTTATGGCTAGGACATGAGAGAGTATAACTTTACTGTTTTGGGAGGGAAAGGGGTCATTCAACAATATACAAGGTCTGATTTAGAGTTCTGTTTCATCATTCATAGCCATTTGGTGTGCATGATGCTAGGTCCTGTTTGTGGTTTAAGAATAAAAAGGTAAATAAAACAGAGTTGTTACTTTTAAGGAGCTCAGACATAAATGATGGACATAGACATATAAATTGATAATTATGGTTGTAAGTGCTATAATTTAGACACAAAAGAGGAACCTAATCTCTGAAGGTAAAGAGGGGGAGATGGGCATAGGGAAGGCTTCCAGAGATGATTTACAAAATGATTGTTTTAAACTACTTTTCCCACCTTTTAATTTTGAAACTTTCAACCCTATAGAAAAGTTTTTAAAAAGAGGACAAAAAAAAAAAAAAAAAAAAAGAGGACAAGGTCCGGAGTGAACAAAATGGATGATGGGTCAAAAGGTACAACTTCCAGTTACAAAATAAGTCATAGAAATGTAATGTATATAGCATGGCAACTATAGTTAGTAATACTGTATTGCATATTTAAAAGTTGCTAAGAGAGTAAATCTTAAAAGTACTCATCACAAGAAAAAATTTAGTGACTATATGGTAATGGATGTTATCTAAACTTTTCGTGGTTATCATTTTGAAAAATATACAATTACTGAATCATATTGTATATCTGAAACTAACGTCCTGTGTCACTTGTACTTCAATTAAAAAAGACAAATATCTAAGGTTTTTCAGTTGCTAACATTTTGTCATGTTTATTTTATTTCTATCATATATGACAGAAGTATATATGATATATATCAAATCTATTTGAAAACCACCTGCAAGTAAACTGTTGACAAAGTAACACAATTCTTAAATATTTTAGCATGCATGTCTTAAAGGGGGGCATGCTCCTCTAAAACAATTTTATAATCATGTTTCAGAAAATTAATATGATATCCAGACATACAATCCATAACCACAGACATTACTGACTGTTCCAGAAAAATATCTAGTCAGTTTTTCTCCGCAATCCAGCATACATACCATTAGTTTACCTACACATTATGTTGGTTGTTTTATCACTCTAGGCTTTTAAAAATGTAAAACAGTCCTTTTTTTTTTTTTTTTTTTTTGTTTTTCATGACATTAACTTACTTGAAGATACTAGTTATAAAGAGTTTCACATTCTGGATTTGCCTGATAGTTCTCTCATGGTTAGATTAAGGGTCAGCATTTTTAATGAGAGTACTGGATAGGTGATGTTTATTTCTCGTTGCATTACATCAAGAGACATACTACAATTTGTCACAATTTTTTGGTGATGTTAAATTTAATCTTTGGTTAAGATTGTGATTATCAGATCTCTCCATTTTTTTCCCTGTTGTAATAAGTATGTAATCTACCCTGTAGTCCCAGCTATTTTTCACTCACTAGTTTTAGTATCCATTGATCCTTGCCCAAATTGCACTGAGGATTGCAAATTGGTGATTTTCTAATTCTGTCATTCTTTCTGCATTTATTTCCGTGGGAATTGTAAAGAGCATCCCCTCCCCAGCAGCCTCTCCCCCAACATATTGCTATGGACTCATGGATTTTTCATTTAATTCAATCTGTCATTCTTTGTGATTCTTAAATTGTTCCAGATTTGGCCAGTGGAAACACTTTTTAGGCTAGTTTTTGTACTTTTTGACATGTTTTCGAGCATTATAAAAAAGAATCCCACATTTACCTATTAACTTTCTTATTCTAGATCTGAGATCAGTTGTTTCTTCAGCGAGCCATAGTTCCTTTTAATGAGGAATGGTATTTTAACTAAGTAGGCATCAGGTCCAGTAGTAGGTTCAAAAGAAGGCAGAAAGACAAAAAGATGAGAGAAACAGCATGTTTGATGACTAGAAAATTTTAGGAAATTTCAAAACATGAAGTTAGGGCTGAATGAAAATGAAGATCTTGTGGATTGCTCTTCACAGTTTTTTTTTCAAGGAGGAAATGTGTATGAGAGAGTACTTTAAGCCACATGACTAACATGAGTGAGTCATCCCAGTGGATTTAAATTTAAATAATTAAAAATATTTATCTTAAAACAAATACATTACGCAAAATCATACAGATTTTTTTGTAAGAAAACAAAGCTATGTCAAAATTATAGCAGGTGGTCCATCTTAAGTAGGACAGCAGAGTATGCATAAACTCTCTTCTGGGATGCTTTGATGTTATTTGAAAAAAAGAATACATAGTGACATTCTCACCCTAGAGGCTAGATTTTTATCAGGATGGAAAAAGTAGAAGCAAGAAGAACTTGATAGAAGAATATTGCCATTATATAGGTAAGAAATGGTAATGTGAATGTTTGAGGTAATAGGGAAGGAGATGTTAGTTTACATATGTTTTCTAAATATTGTAAGCAAAAGCTAAAATCTAACCCCTCCCCCACCACCAAAAGGGAAAGAAGAAAAAAGGAAATTGAGAAAACTAAACACTACAGCATTCCTCTTTGTACATATTTATATTTGTCCTTTAAAAATAAAAATTTTACATTGATAATAGGCAAATGTTAGTAATGGCTAATAATTTGGTCCATTTTTTAATTTATGTATGAGTTACCCTTTTATATGTTTAGCAGTTTTGAATTCCAGGCTGGTATCTTCCTGCTCTTCAATTTACTTTTGCGTTGTTGGTGCTGTTTTGGAAGATTGTGAAATAGACCTTATAAAAATTAGCCCAAGGAAAAATCAGGAAAGTAAATATCCTCCTGAAATTATAATAAATTTTCATGACAAATAGAATTTTTAAAATTAACTTCTGTTTTAGATTATCTGCAAATTCAAGAATTGAGAGAACAAGACTTTCTTACAGATACAGTATTAAATGTTTTGAATTGTGAGTCTTGAATGGCAAACTTTCTGAAGTTTCTGTATTTATGGAAATAACATGTGAGAAGTATTTAGATAGCATCTGTTTCTGTTTTTAGACTGGGCTGGTTTAGATGAAGATGAAGATGCACATGTCTGGGAGGATAATTGGGATGATGACAATGTAGAGGATGATTTCTCCAATCAGTTACGGTAAGCTTTACGTCAGATTTTATATAGCTTAGTATTAATTGTAAGGACGGAATATGTAACTTACATATGATAATTGACCTCTTTAAAAGATAATTAATCTTTAAAATATCTTTTTGAATTATGGAAAAGAAAACCTATTACGTTCATCTATGTTTCTAAACATGAATGCTTTGTGTAATTGCATAGGACTTTTATTCTTTCTAGTTTCTTTACAAAGGTAGTTAAATAGAAGCATATTTGCAATTTTTTATTTATGTGGGTTTAATTCTGTCAACATTAATTTTCCACCAATGTTGAATAACTCAGCAGAAATTAGAACCAGAGTGCGAGGATCCAAAAGATTGGTGATTCTTAAACTGGAATTGGGGTGATGGGAGTGTACCTTTTCATATTCCTGTACAAATTTACCTAATATGGTTGATTGAAGTAAAATTCATGTATCATAAAATTAATCATTTTAAAGTGTTCAATTCAGTGGCAGTTTGTATATTCATAGTGTTGTGCCGCCATCATGTCTATGTAATTCCAAAGCATTTCCATCACCCCAAAAGGAAACAGCATATCTATTGAGCAATTACTCTGCATTCCTCTTTTTCTAGTCCCTGCTTTCTGTCTATAGATTTGCCTGTTTTAGATATGTCATAAAAATGGAATCATACAATAAGTGATCTAGTATGTCTAGCTTCATATAGTTAGTATAATGTTCTCACCTTCCATCCATGCCATAGCATGTATCAGTACTTCATTCCTCTTAATGGCTGAATAACATTGTATGATATGCTACAGTTTGTTTATCCATTCATCAGTAGATGGGCTTTGGGTTGTTTTTGGATACTGTGAACTGTGTTATTACTGTGAGCATTTATGTACAAGTTTTTGTTTGAATACTTATTTCCAGTTTGGGGGAATGTAATCCCAGGAGTGGAATTTGTGGATCATATAATTCTGTTTAACTTTTTGAGGAACTGCCAAACTCTTTTTCCACAGCAGCTTTACAGTTTTATATTACTACCAATCGTGTATGAAGGTTCTAAATTGTCTACATTCTCATCAAAACTTTTTTTTTTTTTTAGTATAATCATCCTAATGGATGTGGACTGATATCTCAGTGTGGTTTTGATTTTCATTTCCCTTATGACTAATGATGAGCCTTTTTTTCAATATATTTGTTGACAATTTGTATATCTTCTTTGGAGAAATAATCTAGTCAAGTCCTTTGCCCATTTTTAAGTTGGGTTGATTGTCTTTTTGTTGTTGAGTTGTCAGAATTCTTTATATATTCTGAGTACTAATCCCTCAGCAGACCTATTGTGTACAGATATTTTCTCCCATTCTGTTCACTTGTCTTTTCACTTTGGTCACAGTGTTTTTGCACATAAGTTTTTTGGTTTCTTTCTTTTTTTTTTTTTTTAAACTATTTACTCATGAGAGACATAGAAAGGCAGAGACATAGAGGGAGAAGCAGGCTCCCTATGGGGAGCCTGATGCTGTACTCCATCCATGGACCCCCATATCACGCCCTGAGTTGAAGGAAGATGCTCAACCATTGAGCCAGCCGGGTATCCTTGCACATAAGTTTTTAACTCAGATGAAGTCAAGTTTATCTACTTTTTAAAGAAATTACTGCCAGATTCAAAGAAAATTTATCCCTATGTTTTTATCTAACAATTTTGGAATTTTAGTTCCCGACATTTAGGTCTAAGATCCATTTCGAATTAATTTTTGTACATGGTTTGCGATAAGAGTCTAACTTCATTCTTTTGCAAATGGATATCCAGTTATACCAGTACCATTTGTTAAAGAGACAATTCTTTCCTCCCTAATTTTATTTTGATTCAACCCATATATATCTGTCTTGGCCCCGGAGTTATCTAAGTAAACTGTCATACTTTTCTCAAATCAAGACCTAGTGGTTCTACTGCAGTTCTAACTTTCTGGTCTAGTACATTTGTTTAAAAAAGATGATTTATAATAAATTTAATGATGATGCAGTACCTTTTGTTCTACACTGCATTTTTCATAGGCTCAAAAACCCTACATTCTAAAGACATTTTAGTATTTTGCTGGAGACTAATAACAATTTTATCTATCACCTTTCTCCCCTTTTTGAAAATGGCACAATTTACCTTTCACTGTTATTCTGATATTTTTACAGTTCTCCATGATTTCTCAAAATGGCTGACTCTGTTTTTTGACTGTATCTTTCATTCTTTCAGTTCCCTGAGATGTAATTATTCAGAACCTAGAGATTTTAAACTACTTTAATACAGTTTAGAGTTATCTCACCTGTCTTAGTTTTCAATTTTGTACTAACGATGTTTTTCCTGTTGCACTTTTATGAACAAGATAGGAACCATAGCTGTTAAACAACAATTCTGCTTTTTCTCTAAATCTGTTAATACTACATCTCTTCTAAGCATTGAATCTGTTCTCATTCTTCTTTATTCATGTATGGCTCTCAGAACTTTTTTTGTTCTTTTCTTTCTCAGTCCATTCTGTGATTAAATTCTGTGTGTATAAATTCTTGCCACTTTTCTTTTTGCATTTATTTTTGATTTATGTTCTTTTAAAACTGAACATCAGAGAACACTTTGCTACCTTGTTTTTAAGTAGGCATCCCCCCCTTGCTTCCCTCACTAGGCTCATATTATGTTGTTAGAGTATTTTCAGGTCTTCTGCCTCTGCTGATCCCCATTCTTACTTCTTAATCATCTGTCCGTTTTTTTTTCTCTTACCTTGAAATTTTTCAAGTTGAAGCTAAATGAGTTTTCTTCCTTTGCTATTCACAAAAGTCAAATTTCTCCAAAATATTTTTCTTTTTTGTCTTTCAAAATCAGAAAATAGCACTTTTCTCTTAAAAATTACATTAAGACATTATTAAATACAGTGATCTAACCAGGGGACTTTTAGTAGTAAATACATTGATAATTGAATTTTTGCCACTACTGCATCTTGCCCTTATGCTGGCTTGAAAGTAGAGCATATTATTTGTGGCTTATTGTTTTTATAATACACCTACATGATGTTCTTAGGTTCTCTCTTGTGTTCTGCTTTTAGGCTTGTGGATTTCCATAAGAATATAAATTTTTTGATACTTTTATTAGTGAATAAGATTTTTCTTTTTATTTCCCTGTGTGAATCATGAGTTGTTTTTCCACATGTGGGCTAATATATCACCAGTGCTATAAAATAGAACTTACTGTATTAGTGGAAATGTTCTATAAACTGCCCTATCCAGTACAGAAGCCCCTAGCCGCATATAGCTCTTGAGCACATGAAATGTAGCTAGTGCAGCTGGTGAATGGAATTTTATTTTATTTTATTTTATTTTATTTTATTTTATTTTATTTTATTTTATTTTATTTTATTTTATTTTATTTTAATAAATAGCTACATGCAACTTCTATATTGGACATTTCAGCCTCAGATAATATTTTTATCTTTGCTTTAAAAAAATTATGATTAACAAGTCTCTTGCAAAGATGTTCTTTCTAGTTTTGGAAAACATATAGAGGTCCCTAATATGATATTATAAGCCACGGTAAGTAAAGAACATGTTTCACTGTGTTCTGATATTGTATATGAATCCTAATCCATCTCACTTTGGAGAAGCAGTACATTTTCTAGAATCACTCTGATTCCCTGGGTTCCAACTCCAGACTGCCTGTGAACAGCTACATGTCTTAGCAAGGACTTAGCCTTCCACTCTCCAGTGTTTTTCTCTTTCAGTGTAATTACTCCTAACAAGTAGAAGTAAGGCCACCTGTGTCTCCCAAGTAACTACAAGTCATTATAGAGAAATACATCAGAAAGAGCAAAAACAGAGTAACTTAATTCTTCTTGGAGTTTTGGAGACATGTTCAATAGGAATGGGTAGGATTAATTCTGCTGACCTTACTTCACATGTTACATTAAAAAATCCAAGAAGCCAATATTGTTCTTGATTTACTGTGTTAAATTTAGCCACTGTCCTATAGCAGAGTACTTTCTTGGATAAGAGGGGTTCTCAAACCTACCAGTGGCTATTTGTCATATTCTTCTTTTGTTGAAAAAGGAAAGCTGCTGTTTTGTTCAAGCAGTGTACATTTGCTCTGTATGTCCTATGCTACTGTTCCAATAGTGCTGGATTTCTTTTCTTCTCACATCTCTTTGTTAGATTTTTTTTCATTCAACAAGCTGATGACACTAGTGTATTTGTATTGTTTTGTGTTTTGTACTTAGTGGCCTCAATTTATTGTTCTTTTGATTGATTTTTATACTAAATTCTAGCAAAAAACTTTTCATCTTCTCTAAAAATTTAGCTAATAGGAAAGCATATCATCATCTCCTTTGAGTTTGTTTACAATGTGTAAATGTGGTTAGTCACCACCTCCTCTCAGTAAGGCAGGTGCAAACCTGGACTGATTTGGTATACTTGTTAACTAAATTGTAGGCTGAATTTTGGGGATTTGTTGTTGTTGTAAAATAAGAGAAAGTGAATAACAGAACATTGGTTCTGTTAAAGGCAACAGAAAATTATTATTTAAGAAACTTTTGGGATGCCTGGATGGCTCAGTGGTTGAGCCTCTGCCTTCAGCTCAGGGTGTGATCCTGGGGTCCCCCTGCCTGTCTCTCTGTCATAAATAAACAAACAAACAAACAAATAAATAAATAAATAAAATCTTTTAAAAAAAAGAAACTTAAAATTATTTCCATTTTTAACTAGAAAACATGAAGGACAGACATAATTTTTAATCTCCGGGCAAACGGTGGAGGGTAGGGGAGTGGGTAAAGGAAGCATTTTGGTTAAATTTAGCAAAAGGAGTAGTATCAGAAATTTGTGTTGATCTTTTGACTCCTAAATGGATGATTTACCAACAGTCTATACTGTCCTCTACACTTGACCAGAAGAAAAAATATTGTATATGAATAATCTCTTACTTTAATATTATTTATGGATCTTAGATCAGTATTTGTATTATAAAGAACTATAAAAATTTTAGAGATATTTGGTTAAGTGAATAATAAATATACAGCATTCCTACATGTGTTTTTTGTTTGTTTGTTTAAAGGTTTATTTATTCATGAGAGAGAGAGAGAGAGGCAGAGACATAGGCAGAGAGAGAAGCAGGCTCTTCGCAGGAACTGGATGTGGGACTCAATCCCAGATCCCGGGATCATGACCTGAGCCAAAGGCAGACGCTGAACTGCTGAGCCACCCAGGCGTCCCACCTACATGTGTTTTTTGTGTTGTGTTTACATTGAATAGTGTGATAATATCCAAGCTAAATTACACTTGAGAACAAATGTCAGTTTATCTTACGGGATGTAATGGTGTAGGGCACATTAATCCTACTTTACATTTATACAGTGTTTTATCATATTTTGGCCCTGAAATAATTTTGTTGTGAACTTCTATAAAATTGAATTGTGGCAGAGAAGTTACTGATGATACTTGGAGTGGTAGTGTGAGTAGCTGAAATTGATTACAAGGCTAACTTTTTTTGTGCATCTGTTTTATACAAAGCAGATCAACAATTGCAGTTAATATGCTCAGAGTATGACTGAAACTTTAGGTTGAATAAATAAAATTATAAAAATATCTTTTAAAGTGTGTGTATTTTTAAATTTTTGAGTTTTTTATCCATATTTAAAATTTTTAAAGTAAAATTTTTAGTATTTTATAACTTGTATTTCTTTTGTCTACATATAGTTAATGCAGAATAATTCCCATGCACCTTTACATTTGATTAATAATTTTTGTCTTGGTTAGAGCAATAGATATATGTCAGTATAAAGCAGTCTGTCTATTCTTTGTGTAAATAGCGATAATACCTATTATGATGATTTTAAAATTCCTAAAAAGCTTGATATCAAATATCTTGTGTTCTTGGCTGTGTGGTTGGTAATTCTTGAAATTTGCTTAAATATTTATTATGAAAAAAATAAATATTTATTATGAACAGGACATTTGTATGTATTTCAAAGATATTTGGAAGATAGTAGTAAATCTCTCATATTTCTTTGTTAAATAGATTTATCAGAAAATTAAGGAGTATGAAATATAAGTTAATTTATGGGAAAGCAGAATTTTATTAGCATTATGTTGATTCACATTCAGTTTTTTTCTTATACAGATTTTCTTTTAAGGGAGTAAAGTAAAGCTAGCTGATAGTATTTTAAATGGGTGCCTAGGCTTAGCTCATTGTTTTATTTATTGTATTATTTATAAAAACACTCTGTTCCTTTAATTTATCATAAAGAATGTCCAGTGATGTTGTTCTTTTGTGTTTTATTATAGAGCTGAACTAGAGAAACATGGTTATAAGATGGAGACCTCATAGCATCCAGAAGAAGTATTGAAGTAATCTAAACTTGAACTGTTTATTAAATTCTAGGACAGAGAACCCAGGATGGAACACTTAAAAAATGTTTATTTCATTACCCGTTTGGATTTATTTTTGTTTTTGTAACAAAAAAAATAAATGTTTTGATCTAATCTTGGTTTGGATCAGAAGTCTTGATTTTTTGCTGCCTGTCATTAATTTTCTCAGACTATTTGTGATTTTCTCGGACTTCAGTATATAGAGATAGTAAATTCATCTGATCCCCAATTCAGTACTTTTGTTTAACCACATCAATTTAATGCTGAACTTATTTATAAGGTTACTTCTCCTAAGTTACATTTAACCTTAATCTCATCTGTATTTTTGAAAGCTCAGGAAACACTTGCTGACATCTCTAAGATGACCCTTTAAAACCTGTGTTTTAAAAATATTAATCATTTTCAATTGCTGTAATTAGTTCCTAGCCATTAATAATAGTATTAATAGTTGACAGAGTAGTACTAGTACTTAAAATCAAGTGGTTTGATCACAGTTCTAAGAATATGTCTTCTGTCAGAATTGGTGAGGTAGGATCAAGATACTTTGTTAACATAGGCATATTCTCAGGTACTACGTAACAGATGTATTTAGTATAATTAATATTCTGCAAAGTGATTATTGTTGCCACACCTACTTTTGTGAGGGAGATATAATTTAGTTGGTAAAGGATTCTTCCTGTTAAGACTTAGAATGAAGCTAATGTATAGCTTTTATTAGAAATATTTTCAAAGTTGAATGTGTTATTTAGGAGAATTAGAACTGTTGAATAAAGTGTAAAATTTATGTGACATATATTGACACCAAAATAAAGTTAAGTGCCTAAAATATAATTTCAGTTATGCCTCAAAATGATTTTGAACATAAGTAAGTTTTTTCCTTAGACCAAGCATAAATCTGCCTTGCCTACATGACAGAACTGCTGGATAAGCAGATAGACTAAGAAATAACAAAGATCTCTGGAAAGTGTAAAAGCAGCTCCTATTTTTATGATCCTGTAGTGCAGCACAAGCAGGCCTGCTACTGTTGTGGCATGTGAAGAAATATTTTGACGTATATGTTCTCCTTACTCTGGTCAGTGATTATCTTTAGATGCTGTATCAGTGGTCACTTGTACAGTGTCAGATCAGTACCCAGAAGGATGGCTACCTCATAGGACTTTAAATTGGTGCAGGGTATAATCTTGAAACCTTATCAGAATTGGGCAGAGGCTTTCATGGGTTTTCACTAGTTATCTAGTGTTTTGTTCTTAATGAAATTTCAAACTTTAGTTTTGGTGTTCTTTTCTGTTAAGGATTGAGTACCTGAAAACTGGTATTTGGTATTAGGATGATGAAGCCATCAGTGGTAGAAAGTGAGACTAGTAAGCAGCTGAAGAAAATTATTTTTATGGGATTTTACAGTTAACAGATTTCTTTAAATTTTGATTTTCACGACAGCCCTGCCAAAGCAGGCTGGAAGGGCCTATCATAAACAGAAAACCACCTCAGAAAATAAGGAGGTGAAAGAGGCCAAGGTTGCATAGCTAACAGGTGTCAGATAAAGACTAGAATCCAGGGTGGTTGTTTTTTTCTTTGTCATTTTCCATAATCATTTAATTCCATTTGAAATAGTGTTGAATTCAAATTGTAGGCCTTGGATTAGAATTGTTGCCACTGGGTGCTAAGTCTCTTCTTCCTATTTCCACTAAATGTTTAGAGAACTATGATAATGAGCCAACACTCTTTTGAAAGATTGTATGGTGTATGAGTAATGCGTGTTTATGACATATTATGATCTGCTCTGTACTTTTAAAAGATAGCCATATCCTTTCTGTTCCTACCAAGTTGAGAGAGGTAACATCTTCCATCCTTTTGGCAGAGAGCTAACATTTGCACTACTTTCCATCTACCCACACATATGATGCTGGGGAGTTAGACTTGAGTTTTATAGCTGCTTTAATGGCTCTGGTTGTATTCCACCTCTAAATCTTGTCATGGGTCTAGATTCTGTCCTGCATCCACTTCTTGCTCTATCCATACTACATTCTCTGTAGTAATTTCATCCTGTCTCAGTTGCTTAAAAAACAAAACAAAACAAAAAAACCTCCATATGTATTATTTCATTCTCTGTTTTCAGTCTTGGCCTCTCCTTGAAATTCTAAACTTTCATATCCACTAACAGCTTGATCACCTCTCCAATATCTAATGGGTATCTTAAAGTTAACTGAGTAGAAACAGAAGACTTGATAATTATTCTTAGACTGATCTTTCATCCAGTCTTTCCCATTTCAGTAAATACTTCACCTTCTTTCTGATTGCTGAAGCCAACACTATAATAAGACCTATTCTTGGAATCCTCTCTCCTAGTATTTCATCTATTGACCAGTTCTGTCAACTCCACCTTCAAAGCATACCCCATGTAGTTGATATCACTGCTTGCTACCCAGCATCTATTTCCCCCTTACTCTTTTCTAACAAATCATTTTTCTCCCCCTCAGGTATCCATCCTCTTTTCACATAAGCTATGTAACTCAAGGCAAGTCAAACCCATTCCCAGTTCAGGGTGGACTTTTCTTAGTCTTTAGTCAATCATAACTGCATCTATCATACAAATGAATGGATGATGGTTGGGCAGGCTTAAATAAATATGGGCCAGGAAACAATTGGCTAGGGGCATCAGACAAAGAAGAATATGGGCTTTTGAAATAGCCACATAAAGCAAAGATAATTAGTCTGGGAGAATATGATTCTTTGATAATATATATCATTGAGACTGCTCTGACACTAAGCTCCCTGTAAAATAAGCATGTAAATTGTTTTATTTTAGACATCTTAGGTTCAGTATTTGGCTACTTATATCCAGAAACCGCTGATAAATTCAGAATCTATCTACTCCCACTTACTAGTATCTTAATCTAAACCATCATCATTTACTAGGATTTACTGCAATAATCACCTAACTAGTCTCCCTACTTTCACTTTTTCTGCCCTATAATCTTTCCTTTAAAAAACAGAGATCTTGTTAAAATTTAGACCGGTCATCCCTTTCTTTAAATGCCATCAAGGGCTTCTTAAAACAGCATAAAACTAAACATAAAGTCCAATGTGATCGGCTTCTGCCTATCTCAGCTTACATCACTTGATTTTCAGTAATGTCTTATTTTGGTCACTTCTGAAAAGTAAATGAAAGATAAATCACTAAGCAGAAAGTTATACTCAACTTTTTTAATGCATCAGGGGCCTTTCCACCAGTTTGGTACCTAGAAGGCTTGCTGCCTCCTCATCCTCACAAGTCAGGCCTTTGGAAGGGTTGGCAGAATCAGCATAGACCAGGAAACAGAGGAAGGAGTTTTTTTTTTTTTTTTTTAACAGAGATGACTTTTGCCTCCCTTGGTTGTAAGACACAAATCCATGTAATAGGATATGTCATCTCATTGGTTGTACCTAGACAATTCAAACTTTGTATCCTGCCAGAAGACGTCAGTAGGATCACCAATGACTGAAATATATTTTTGTTCTTATCTGCAGCTAATGTCTTGCAGAAAAATCTTCATAACTTTTTGTTTTGACCAAAATATAACCTCATTGGTCAATAACTTCAGTACATTAATCATATGAATCTTGTTTATGTTTTCAAGAGTAATCCTTTACTCAAGGTAAAATGATGTGCTCTAATCTACATTAGTGTTAAGTAAATAAAGATAACTTTATTATTTTTTATATAATTATTATTATTTTTTATTTTTTAATTTATTTATTCATGAGAGACACAGAAAGAGAGAGAGGCAGAGATACAGGCAAAGGGAGAAGCAGGCTCCATGCAGGGAACCTGATGTGGGACTCGATCCTGGGTCTCCAGGATCAGGCCCTGGGCCAAAGGTGGAGCTAAACCGCCAAGCCACCTGGGCTTCCCCTAAAGATAACTTTAGTAAGGATGTTTGAACTTTGGTGATCTCATACTCAAAGACTCATTGCATTGTATGTGTAGAAACTTGTGGTCTGGGCAGCCCTGGTGGCGCAGCGATTTAGCACCGCCTGCAGCCCAGGGCGTGATCCTGGAGACCCTGGTTCGAGTCCCACGTCAGGCTCCCTGCATGGAGCCTGCTTCTCCCTCTGCCTGTGTCTCTGCCTCTCATTCTCTGTGTGTCTCTATAAATAAATAAAATCTTTAAAAAAAAAAATTTGTGGTCTAAGTTGATAGGACACTCTTCGTGATTTTGATGATATTTCCAAGTAGAGGAACAGATTTTATGAGACGAGCAGTTTCTTTTCTTTGCTAAGGCTATGAAGGTCACTATTATTAATCAAGAAGATGAAAATATGTGTTTATGTAATTGAATGTTTTTCAGTAATTTCCCCTTTGGTGATTAAGAACAGTGTATTTATATAGAGATATAAGCAGATATATAGATAGGTAGATGCTAAGTTAACTTTGGCTTTGGAGACATATATCTTTCCACTGAAGCAGGACTGTAGGAAAAAACATAGAATAAAGATGTCTTGCTACAATGTATAAAAATTATAAGCGAAGTTTTAAATGCTATTGGTCTATACATTGGAGAATTAAAATTCTTCATATTTTATAACTTAGCTTGTTAAGTCTAGTAAAACATTTTGGAAGCTAAGTTTTCACTGATACAATAGTCTCAGTCTATATATTGCTAGTTGACAGTGGCATAGGCGATTAACTGCTGTTATATTTTGTTTTTCAAATTAAAATTGTTGATAGACTAAGAGTTGTTTCTTTTTGATGCCATTGAAAGAGAGCATATATACTTTTCCTCTTCCTTGGAAAGCTTTTTTCTTAATTTCTCTTGCATGAATGAAATTGGTAATCTCATTTTAGAACTGTCTAGGATATCCAGTCAGGAATTTGATGTCTAATAGTGTTCCTAGAAGCTGTGGATGAAGGCGTGATAATGGGGGCCCACACACCCCTCTTTGTTTCATTTGGAGCTTTCTGACCTTTACTTGTGTTAGACATTGGGATTCAATGTAGGATTTCATTTGAAAAATCGATTTTGCTGCCTTTCTTTTAAAGTTTGATAACAGTGATCTAGATTTTCTATGATATTGGCAATTTGTCCTAAGTGCTACCAAGTAAGTTAGGTTTTGCTTTCTGTCCAGATTCAGGG